AATTATATCGCCTGGAAACAGGCAGGTTTCTTCCTTTCTCACCTGCATGTTTCTCATTTCCTTCTGCTGCCCATTGTGGTGCTGAGAACTTGCAGCTCTGCTGAGTGAACGTGGTGAGGGAGCACACCCTGCCTCATTCCTGACCGCAGTGGGAAAGCTTCCAGCTTCTCACCGTTAAGTGTGGTGCTGGCCGCAGGCTCGTGCGGATGCTCGTTGTCGAGGCGGTGAAGCCCTGAAGTCTTCCCCGGCCCTGTTTTCCTGAGAGTTTCCATCGTGAGTAGGTGTTGAACTAATTGATTGATTTAGGGTTAAACCAGCCTTGCATCCCTGGAGTAAACTGTATGAAGTATAATTATTTTCACGTGTTGCTGCATTTTATATGCTAAGGTACTTTCTTACGGGTCTTAATGTTTATATTTATGAGGGATGTTGGTCTGCAGGGTTGTTTTTTGTTGTTTGTTTACTGTCTTCGTCTGCTTTTGGTGTCATGTTAGTATTAACTAATATTAACATCTAAAATTAACTGGGGACATTTGCTCCTTTTCTGTTTTCTGGAAGGAATTGTGTAGCATTCATGTTAATTCTCCCTTAAATATTTGGTAGAATTATCCAGTGAAACCTTCTGGATCTGGAGATTTCTTTTTGTGGAGGCTTTAAATTATGGATTCAATTTCCTTAATAGTTAAAGGGCTATGAAATTACCTGTCTCCTATTTGATGAGTTTGGTAGTTTGTGTTTTATGAGGAATGGGACATTTCATCTAAGTTTCCCTTTGACCCATGGACTCTTTAGCAGTGCTGTTTGATCTCCAAGTGTCTGGAGATTTGTTGTATCTATGATTGATTTCTAGTTTGATTCCATTCTGATTGGAGAATATACTCTGAATGATTTTGATTCTTTTCATTTTGCTGAGTTTTATTTTATATTCCAGGATCTGGTCCACGTTAGCTGGATTTGTCTGTTTCTCCTTTCGGTCCTGTCAGTTTCTGCTTCACATACTTGGCAGCTCTGTTGTTTGGTGCACATGAATTTAGGGTGTGTGTCTTCTTGGTGGATTTACCTCTGTCCCTGAGGCATGTGTCTCTCTCTGATTTGTTTGCTCTGAAGATTTATCTGTTATTACTGCTTTTGTTTGACTGACAGTTTTTTTTTAATCCTTTTACTTTCAACCTGAAAGTTGGAGTGAGTTTTTTATAAATGGCATATATTTGGGTCATGCGTTTTTAATCCGCTTGGTCAATGTCTGTCCTCATTGGTGTATTTAGCCCATTTATGTTTAATGTAATTATTGAATCCCATCTTACTATTTTTGTTTTCTGTTTGTTCTATTTCTTCTGTGTATTCTTTTTCCTTCATTCCTTTAGGTTATATTTACTTTTTTTTCAAATCCATATTGATTTATCTACAGTGTTTTGACTGTATCTCTTGGTTGGTATGGATATTACATTATATGTACAAAACTGTCACCGTTTGCTGGTGTCATCATTTTTTTACCATTTTGAGTGGGGTCTAAACCCTTACCTCCCTGAGTGATTCTTCACCTGGTTTATTATAGTTACTTAAAATATTTCCTCTACATATAACTAGAAGCACATCAGACAATGTTAATAACATTTGCCTCAACTGTGAAACGTAACTCAGGAAACTCAAGGGAGGGAGAAGGGGTCGCATTTCCCTCAGACCTTCACTTTCATGCTTTTTCCTTCTTGATGTTCTGAGGCTTCTCCTTCTGTCACCACCTTTCTATTTACAGAAGTTCTCCTAGCAGGCCTTTCAGGGTAGGCCTGCTGGTAAAGGAGGCTCTCATTTTCATTTGCCTGAGGATGTTTCCATTTCCCTGTCACTCCTGGACGATATTGTCACTGGGTGTCTGAACTGGAGGATTATCAGGATTCTGGATTGACAGCTTTTTTTTCTCCCAGCATTTGAAAAATGTGTGATTTCACGTGGCCTCTGTGGTTCCTGATGAGAACTCCTCTGTCACTGAATTATGTTCACCTCATGGGTATGGTGTTATTTCTCTGGCTACTGTTTCCTTTGCCTTTAGTTCTCTGAAGTTTAATTATCGTGTGTCCCAGAGGAGATTTGAGTTTATCCCATTTGTGATGCTCAGCATCTGGAATCTTTAGGTTTACTCTTGTCAAAAAGAAATCTTCAGTCATTTTTTGGAGTGCCTTTCAGCACTGTCTTCCTTCTCCTCTCCTGGGACTCTTATGACATAAGCATTAGATTTTTTGTTACAGCCCCACAACCCAGAGGCTCTGCCCCCTTTTTTTCAGACTGTCTTCTCTCTGTTGCTGGAATTGGGTAATTTCTACTCTACTCTTCTGTCTTCCAGATCACTGATTCTCTCTGCTCTGCCCCCTCCATCTTTCTATAAAGCACATCCACTGACCTGTTTGTTTTGGTTATTGTCTTTTTCAGTTATAGTATTTTCAGCATTTATCTATTTGCTGAGACTTTCTATTTCTTTGTTGAGGCTTCCCATTTTTAATTTGCTTCAAGTGTGTTCATAATTGTTCACTGAAGCATCTTTAACATGGTGGGTTTACAGTCTCTGTCAGAAAATGGGTGCATCTATGTCATGTTAGTGCTGGTGTTTACTGATCATCTTTCTCCATTTGGTTTGAGGTTTTCTTGGTTTTGAGAAGAGTGGTTCCCTGTTGAAACCTGGACATATCTGGGTTATATTATGGGACTCTGGGTCTCATGTAAACCTTGTGCTTTAACTGGCTTTTTCTGGCACCACTCTGCTGGGGTGTGGAGGGGGCTCTGTTACTGACAGTGGAGGTGGAAGTTGGGGTTCCTCACTGGACCTCTGCTGACATCTGCAGGGAGGGTCTTGTCCTCACAGCTGGGAGAGGGATGGGTGGGAGTCTGAACTCCCAACATGGTCTCCACTGATAAGAACAGGTGGTTACCACCCAGAGGGGACCCAGTCGGGGTCACTGGCCTCACAGTGGAGGATGCGGAGGCCCCCTCTCAGCCTTTGTGTGAGTGGGGGTGGGGTCATGCTTTCTTCTAGGTTTTGGGGGTAGGGGAGCTGCATCGTCCACAATGTGCTCAGTTGCTCCTTTCCTGGCCACTGACTAGAGAGAGGCGACTTCAGCTGGGGCCTCGTCGGCATCTGGGCTGCTGGTTGATTCAGCTCCACGTCTGAGATGACAGGCCAAGGGAAACATGGGGGCCCCACATGTGTTTTCTCAGGTCCTGGGCCCCTGGCCACCTGCCGCCTCCTCTCCACCCTACACAGCCTCTCACGTGTGGCCCAGGGTGTGGCTGAACCGAGTGGGAAGAGCAGGCAAGTGTGTGCTCACCCAGGGTTTTGTCTCTCCAACCTGCCTAGGAGACATGCTCATGGAGGACGTCCAGCCCCTATATCTGTGTGCCTGGTTCCCGAGTGCTGCCAGGAGCGCTTAGAGGTTCAGGGGTCCCTCACTGCCCCGACAGACACATCCATCACGTGGCCTCCACACAGACCCCAGAATGGGCACGGCTCAGACTGCTCTGCTCTTTAGATAAAAATATTACTGCAGTTCTGTTATTTAAATTTTTAAAATGATTTTTTTTCATAGTAAGTTCCTTCTGTGCTCTTGATTTTTCTGTTTCCTGGTAGATAATAATAGTAAGACCATCCTTCTGGGAGTGGCGTGCTGAGACCATGCCCATTCCCCAGCGCACAGTGCTGGACCACATGCTCATACTGCAGACATGCCTCCTGGGGGTAGACCAGTAACAGCCACACAAACACATCGCATGTGGGGCAGTTTTTTAGGTGCTTTTGTCAAACAAAAGGAACAGACTAGCTTACTTCTAAGCATGTTTAACCCCAAAGTAAGGGTGACAGTGCCTGTGAGGCTGGGTCTCCGACCCTCTCTCCAAACGTCGCATCACCCTCAGCTGCTGGTGGCCGCAGGAGGCAGCTGAGCGGGCGACTTTTCCGTCAGCTTCACTCTGGGTAATGCTGTCAGGTCTTCTGAGATTTAGACTCAGTTGGAAACTGTTCCAACAGTTTGAATCTTGCCAGTTGTAAGTTTTAAAAAATGTTAGATTTGCATTTGAAAAAGTGTTCCAGTGGGTCTATGAAGGCAGTTTACATGTAAGAGCTGTTCTTTTAATTCTACTGAGAACGTGTGTTCTCAGTGAGTCCTGGACCTTCTTGTGCTGCACTCAGACACACACCAATGCACACAAACGCACAGCCGTCCTGATTTGAAGATTTTGGTAATGTGTTTTTGTACAGGGCATAAAAATATATCTCTGTAATTACATGATATTTAGTGATTAGATAATTATGGATAATTGCACGGGATAGCGCTAAGTGCTACAGTGTTACCATAAGATCTAAAATGTACAAATTGTATAATAATTATTCTTGGGAGTTATTTGGTAATTCGGAGCATAATTATCATGTGATCTGCAGTGCATGTAATTAATGCATAATCACATGGACTTTGCCTTCATAACTGCTTTGCCCTTGTTATAAAGCTCTTTGTCATAACATTTGAGTATAAATATGGTGTAATTGGTTCCAGACACAGTACATTAAGCCCCACGATAACTGCTTTCCCAGTAACAGTACCCCTCATTTCACTTCAAACGTATGGCTCTTGAGCAGGGTGGGGTTAGGAGGAGCAAGTTGCCCAGACATGGCCGCGAGCAGGTCTGGTGGCCACCGTGTGTGCTTGGGGGCCGTGGCCAAACCTTTCCAGGTAGAGAAGTTGGCCGCTTTCTGCAGACGGCTTCCCTCTTTGGACCAGAGTGCATGCCTGGCCGGGGGCTCCTGCCTTCCAGCTGTCCAGCCTCCTCCCGCCTGGTTTTCCACTAGCAAAGCACCCAGCAGTTTCTGGTGCAGGGGCCTCTGGGAGCCGGAGTGTCTGTAAGGAGGAGACCTGGCCGTGAACCGCCCTCCGCGAGGGGACGACGTGGTGGGAAAGCCGGGAACAGCAGCTCTGCTTGGCTTCGCCTCGTTAACACAGATCCTGCCGCTCTCCCCACAGGTTCCTCGTGGCAGGACGCCGCCCCCCAGCACCTGATGGCCCGGGAGCTCTCACGCCTCCCCCAGACCTACCCACGACATCCCGACGCGTCCCATCTGGCCAGGTAAGGTGGATGTGCCTTCTATCCCCATGAAAACGGCCACAGACAGCAGCCACCAAGCCTAGTTCCTTGTGTCATGCGGCAGAGTACCCCCATCTCCCTGGCATTGAAGTTCCACAAAGTTGGGGTGTCTGCACGGGGCCCTGCCCGTGGGTGTGCTGCAGCCACCACCCGGGTGCCCTTGTCACCCCAGACGTGCCCAGGGGTCCTCCCCTGTTCTTCCTGAGACCCTTGGAAAGTCTGCATCCTCAGAGCCTTGGCTGAAAGCAGAGAAGTCAGAATTCTCATCTCCCAGGGGGAGTTTATTGTTCACTTTGGTACAAAAAGCAGGATTAAGCCCCGAGTGTCACCCCATTCCCCGAGCACCGCGGCCTGTGTGAGCGGAGGGCTATCCCCACTGCGTCCTCACCCGCCGCGTCAGAGGGTCCGGGGCCTCGTCCACTCCTGCAGGGGACACAGGCCCGGGTTGAGCACTCCATCCAAGGACACGGTGCAGTCAGCAGGCCGTCCCTCTCACTCACTGAGCAGGAAGAGGACCCCCCGGCTTCACGTGCAAAGTCCATTCTTCCCTCAGAGAGAACGTCCCACATGGCAGGCCTAGCCACAGCAGCCCCCGAACGCTAGCCTTCAGGGCCTGCCTTTCTGCCTCTGGCCTTCGAGGACAGGAAGCAGCTGGGCTACCAGGTCCTGGGGACAAACGTGTGAGTGTGAACCTGATGGCTGGTCACCGAGGTGCCTCTCGCTGGCTGGACTGAGGGTTTCTTGAGGGTCAGAGCTGTTCTTTGTGTTTCTTGTGCTGATACCCTGGGCTTCATCCAGGAGAATGTGCGATGTCATCTGTTGTGTGAAACAACACAGACCCAGCGTCAAGCTGTCTCGAATTTCAATTTTTATTTGGGTGAGTTCAGACTCTCCATGCTGGACTTTACGTTACGCTGGGCGTCTCAGTGCCGCCCACTTCTTCCTCTTTATGAAGCTGTGCCTGAGTGTGGTGCGCCGCCCCAGGCCACCACGTGGGAGGCTCCCGCCGTGGCTGGAGTGCAGGGTGGATGCCAGGGCCCTGGACTGGCAAAAGCTTTCCCTTTGCTTTTCAGGAGCCCCAAGCAGAGCGTCCAGGATGAACGGGGCCTCAGCCTGGAGGGCGACGTGCTGGCCGAGGTCCTTCAGCGCTACCTGCCCTACCTGGAGGCCTTGGCCCAGGCTGCCGCCCCGAACACGCTCCCCGGGCTGAAGCTGGACAGGCCGCTGGCGCAGGTGACTTCGGAGCTCTCTCTCTAGTCTGGGGCATGTCTGTACCTGCCAGGCGGTTCCCTCTGGGCACATGGGGACAGTGGTTCCCAGGCCCGCAGCATCTCTGGGCTTTCTGCTGTATCCTGGTCAGTGGGCGGGGCAAGAGGCCTGGTGTCTCCACCCTTCAGGAGGGCCTGTGCTCCCGCTTGGACAGGCCGGGGCCACGGGGCCCACTTGTGCTCGGGGAGGGTGGGAAGCAGGTGGGTCCGGGGTGCCCCAGACTGTCCTGGGGCCTGCACTGCGAGTCGCTGTCCCCGGAAAGCCCTCCTTCCACACACCGCCCTTGGGGTGGCGTGTAGGCACCAGCTGTCGGGCCCGAGGATGGAAGTTCGTTTTGTACCGAGGCCAGTCTGCTTTAGAGCCACCCAAGATTTGGAGCATATTGAAAAGGACAGTTCACAGAAACGATTAGAGATCTTGGTAACTTTTAGTGGGCAAGTGTGCGTGATTTTTTCTGACAACTGGTTGAACGGGAGCTGCCAGGCTTTGACTTGCCTGGGGTGAGGGCGGGGGTGAGGGTTAGGGTGGCTAGTCCCCAAGGGGCCCGGGGTGGGTGGCTCCGTGGCCTTCGGAGGCACTCCTCACAGAAGCTTTGGGAAGAAAGGTACCGATGAGATGGGAAAGACAAGTTATAGGCGTGGAAAGAGTGTTTGCCAGCAATGCACCTGAAGAAGCACTTCTCTCCGCAGTGTGTAGAGAGCTCTCAAGACTCACTGAAAAAAACAGACAAATAAAACATGAGCAAAAGGACTTCACCAAGGGGGACAAACGGGAGGCAGAAAGCTCGTGTGAAGTGTTGGACGTGGCTGTTCACTGGGGAGGTACGAGTTACAGCAGTGGTGAGAGGCCACTGCATGCCTGTCAGAGCGGCTGAACGCAGAAGACTGACTGCTCCACATGTTGGTGAGAAGGTGGGTGCACTGCACTCTCACACTGCTGGTGGGAGTGGAAGGGGGTTCAGCCACTTTGGAAAACACACACCTGCTGTCTATCCAGCCTCCCACTCCTGCCCGAGAAGGGAAGCTTTGTCCACCAGGAACAGGAATGTTCACAGAGGCTGCAATAGCAATTTCCAGCGAGTGGAGACAACCCAAGTGCGTATCAGTGAGCGAGTGGATAAACACCTTGCATTTCACCCGTTAAAGGAAACTCTGGTTAGTAGTAAAAGTGAATACCGTGGGTGCACGCAGCAGCATGGATGAACTTGAGAGTAACTGTGCTCATTGGAAGACAGGAAAGAGCACATGTTCTCATCCCATTTATGCAGAATTTTAGAAAACGAGAACTAGAGCGTAAGGGACGGAAGGCAGGCTGGGGGTGGGCGGGGGCTGGAGACGGAGGCTGGGGAGGCGTCCAGAGGGCAGGCAGACACGTGTGGGGTGACCGGCATGCACTGTCCTGACTGCCGGTCCCCCAGGGTGCGCCTGCGCGAGAGCGCGTGGGAGCAGAGGCACACCGTTTGCTGCGTGTCAGCTGCGCCTCAGCGACGAGCGGCCAGCGCAAGCATGCGAGTTCTCAACAGGTGCTTCGCTTAAAGAGACAAACAAGTGGCTAGTAACGGCACCCGAGACACTCACCATCATCATTCATTCGGGAGATTCAGGAGCAAACCTCACGTCCACTAGACTGGCTTAAGTTAAAAGAACCGTAGTACCTGCTCCTTGCAGGGTGAAGAGTGATGGAAACGCTCCAGTTTGTGGGAATGTGAGCTGCTCAGCCATCACTTGGCAGTTTATTTATGGCTGAGCGTCCATCTGTCCTGTGACGCAGCAGGTGCCCCCGGGCTGCTCAGGAGAAGTCCTACAGGCAGCCGTCGCCGCAGCCTCGCTCACAGGGCCCCACCCGGAGACCACCCAGGGTCCACCAACAGGCCCGCCACTTCGTCTCTCGTCTCTGAAGAGGTGCCACCTTCGGAGATTGAGTTTGGGAACATGAGTTTGGGAACATGGGGGTCCCTCCTGCCCTGGACTTAGCTACGCCACTGGGAGCAGCATGTGCAAAACTGCAGAGCTCAGAGGACCGCGGCCACAGCGCTTAAGCGTGCCACCTCTCCGGTGTCGTTTGATTTTGAATTTCTGGCTCCTGCTTTCATTTGTACTGATCTTGGGTGGGAGGCCAAGCCCTGGTGGTGTGCATCCACAGAGGAAGGGTCAAGGCGTCCCAGCTGTCGTCCTGACCCCCTTCATCCCCGGACGACGTCCCGCTGCAGAGCAGCCCGCTCTCCTGGCTGGGTGTCCAGGACTCTTACCAGCTCAGAGCTGAGCTGCGGGGCAAGCCAACCTCCCGGCTGTGGTGGGCTTGTGCGCCCGGTGGGGCGGTGGCCATGGTGTGGATGCAGGAGGGCAGGTGCTCAGCTCGTGTCTTTTCGTGGTGTGATCACAGCACCTCCCCACCCAGGCCCGCGGCCCTTCCCTCCGCCTCTCTTCTGTCCTGGGCTCACGTGAGCTGGACCTGAGCCGCTCCTGGCCCCAGGGTGTACGCTGCAGCCTTGGGGAGGTGGCTGGCTCTCTGCAGCACCCCTGCCGGGGGAGGTGGTGGCGGTCTGAGCACGTGCCTAGCACCTGCCAAGCTTCGGGGGGCTCTGCGCTCACTGGTTCCTCTCCGCTGTCGAATTCCATGTGTGCAGAAGACGTTCTCTTTTTCTCTTTAGTTTTGATTTGACTCCTTGTGTCGCCATGTGCGACGCTGCCTGGGTGGTCTCCACGGGCGTTCACCCATCCCGCCGCCTCACTGAGGGGCGCTGGCCTTCTGCGGTCACACGTTCTGGAGGACGAGACGTCCCTTGAGACCATTGCTCGGCACCTCCGCTGATGAGGGAAACAGCAGCTGTCCACTTTCAACGCTTAATTGTTGGTAGCGCTGAAACCAGAGCCCTGAAATTCTCCTCCAGCTTTTTCGTGTTTATTTTTTAAGTCCGAAACAAGGTCCCCGAGTTGGCTCTTTAAACCTAGCTGAGCGTGGTTCTGCATTTTCCGTTGGGCGGACTGCAGGGTGGGCCTGCTTCTCTGTGGCCAAAGCCAGCTCTGCCCGAACTCACAGGAGATCTTGTCTCTTGCCCCGAAGCTGAGGATGCTTGTGTCTACACCAGAGGGTTGCTGAGGGGGTCAAAGGGAATGACAAGCACTCAAAGCCAGAGGGCCTAGCGCTGGTCCTCAGAGCACACGACCCGCGCTGTGCCCGCTGTCCTGACGGCCTCAGTGGGGTGCTCTGGTCGGCTGGCCTGCAGCTCAGGCCTCGTGCGCATCCAAGGGGGAGGGGAAAGCTGATTGCACCTCTGCTTCCGTCCAGTCCCTTTGCTCTCTGCTTGCGGGTGTGAGGCTGCGGGTGCAGCTGCTGGACAGGACAGAACAGAACGCCAACCAGAAGGCGCGTGTCCTGAGGCAGAGACACCGGAGGGAGAGGCAGGGCGGGACGGAATGAGGACGGCACCTGCTCCGTGCTTCGCTGGGGTTTCTGTAGAGTAATTCCAGCTGCATAACGTTTGTTGATGCCCGTGATTTAACAGCCACGCTCCGTGTTGCTCTCAACCTTGTGCAGGATCATTGATCCTGGGGTCTAGATCCTAACACCTCTTCAACCTCAGAGTGTGTGAACTCTGCAGAAGCTGTGTGGGGCTTATTTTTCTAACTGAAAGCTCTGTATCTCAGCAACCAGAGCACAGCTACCCTGGTCAGAGACAGACCCGCCCAAGGCTCCTCTGACTGCAGGAGCGTCCTGTCCTGCGACAGTGCTGTCAGTAAGCATGACACCTCCAATCTCCTTCCCCTGCACGTGGTGGGCAGCTTAGAGCCTGAACACTGTTGAGCTCTGACAACTCTTCCACTGTGTTGGGAGAGACAGACAGACAGACAGACAGAGAACAACTGGCCAGGATCTCCCTCTGCAGCCGGAGCACAGAGAAGCAGAGCAAAGTAACACCCCCTTACATTAATGAGCTGGAGGTGGGGGTCCCTGAGGCCCCAGCCCCCAAGTCCGGCTGCGTCCGGTAGTGCCGCAGGGCCATCTCGTTAGGGAGCCTGTGGCAGCCCCACTGCTGTGGACTTTGTCACGCCAGCAGCAAGCGTGTCTTGATCAGTGTGCTTGTCAGCGCTGCCTTCGGGCTGTGAGACAAACTGGAGGAAATGTTTGTCATCTGGTCCACAGATGGCCCAATTTGGGTTTCCTAATTTGTTTTGGATCCTTGGCACCAGAGACTATCTGATGAGCATGAGTGACCAATGTGTGGACGTGGGTCTCATCCCCTCAGCGTTTGCTGGCATGTGGGACTCGGAGGGCCCGCAGGCCTTCCTGGCAGTCTGAATTCATAATTGTGCGATTTGGGACTTGGGCGGGTAGGTTTCCGTGAGAGGAAGGCACCGACCTGCAGCCCGAGGACCTAGGTGCTGGCGCAGCTGGGAGGTAAGGAAGGCACTTCCATGGCTGCCTCACTGATGGGCAGTCAGGTCTAGGAAGTGTGTCCGCTGGCTCCAGGAAGCTGCCCTGATTTCCCCAGCTGACTGTGGTCACTTCCTTCCAGACTCCATCAGCAAACCTCCTTAATACACTTTCAATTATAGTTACTGATGTCTGTGACTCAACTCCCACTTCAGTCTGCAAACTGTCTGAAGATAGGTCCGTGATTGAGATGTTCCTCCTCTACAGAATGTAGCCCAGAGCTCAGCACAGCAGTGGGTGTGATGGTGGTGGTGGTGGTGGTGGTGGCGGCGGTGGCGGTGATGGTGGTAATAAAGTTGGTGATGTTGATGGTGGTGACACTGGTGATGGTGGTGGTGATGGTGGTGATGCTGCTTGAAGGCAGTGATGCTGATGCTGCCTGTGGTTTATCAGATGCCTCCTCGGAGCTGCGAGCTGAACTAGGCACGTTCCCCTATACTCTCCCTAATACTCACAAGTGCTTCAAGAAAAAAAGAACTTTTCCCCAGTTTTGCAGGTGGTAAAAGTGAAGTTCGAAGAGGTTGCAAAGTTACAAAGGCCCCACTGAGCTGTGCTGGCCAGACGGGGCCAGTCTCCTCCTGGGTCTGGTCAGCCAACGCCTGTGGGGTGTGTTGTGAGTGGGTTTCACCCCCTCTCCCGTGGGAGCACCATGAGTTAAGGGACGAGCCTAGATGGACGTCATTTCAGTGCAAAGGGCAGCGAGACTGGCAGCCGTTCTCCACCGCTCCACACACACAGGGGATCGCACTGCGGACACCCACACTCGGCGTCTCTGACACGCAGCGTGAAGCATGAATGTGCCTGGAGGAGCCAGACCATGTGCTGGAAATCAGCCAGTCCTTTTAGGTTGCAGATTTGGGCAACTGTACAGTCTCAATAATTATTCAGCATTATTGTAGGAAATTTGACTCATAGGTTTGTTCAATTGAGGCTTAAAACATCTTTAGAATAGGGGGTTTGAAAGTGAGCTGGAGCCTTTTAGACTCAGAGCTGACAGTGTGACAAGGGGTGCACTTGGATGGCCCCCGTCAGGGGCTGACCCTCGGGCTTCCTGTTGCTTCAAAGAAGGTACAGGTGTAAGAAGGCACCGCAGGGACAGCACCAGGAGCCACCGTGTTCTGGGTTCCGGGGCCATCTTCCCTACTTCACAGATGACTCAGAGGTTAACTGACTCGCCAAAGCGAAGGTCACTAGCCTTGTGAGCAGCGGAGGTGGAGTCAGACCCTGGCAGCCTGGCCCAGACCCCAGCTCCCTCCACGCACTCTCTCCTCCGGGATGTGAAGCGACCACGAGGTTGCCTTCCTCACTCACCTCCCCGGAGACCAGGGCGCCCTCACCGGGAGGACACTGCCGCGCCCACGTCGCTCTCAGAGGACCTGGTGTGACTGGTGGAAGCCCGTGCTTTCAATCTTTCCACAGCCTGCCTGCTGAAATACTCCTCCCTCTTCACCCTAATTTGGTTCAGAGCATGAAAGACCCATACAGCGTGTCCGTTGCTGTCCGCTACATGGATCGCGCCCTGCAGTACTCTGCCGCACCGTGCTCGGCCTGCTGGGTCCTGCAGCCGAGCACCCACTCGACTGTCTTTCAAGGCCCTCGAGTGGGAGCTCTGGGTTCGGCGGCCTTCGCAGCGAGAGAGGAGCAGGGCTCGCGGCACAGCAGCGAGGCAGCCCTGGCCCCCAGCGCTGCGGCCTGACCGGCTGTGCAGAGACAGCCCTCTGAATAGAGTTCAGGCTGGACTTCAAACCGACACTCCCTCCCCGTTTGTGCGGGGGGCTGGCGGGCTGTTTGTTGTGGAGCGTGTCCCCCTCTCTCTCTTTCTCTCTCCCTCTCTCTCTCGTGAGGCTTGTTTTTTCTCTTCTAAAGGAAAAGCAGTTGATTTCAGCCAGTACTTGGACAAAATTCAGCAATTCAGATGACAACTAAAATCACATCATTTTAGAAATAACCACCTTAGGGATCATGTCCAATCTCCTTCTTTGACAGAAGAAAAGTGAGTCTCAAGAGGTCGAGTGATTTGCCCGAGTTCATGTGTGAGAGGGAAACTGGAACCCAGTCACCCCACTTTCCGGCTCTCGCTCGCTCCACCGGGATGCATCCTGGGAAGCTGAGGCCAAGCAGTTTAAAAACGAGGCAGACTTGGGAGCCTGAACCACCATCTTGAATTCAGTGATGGCCACACATCTTAACCCAAGTGTGTAGCCAGTGACTTGGCGTTGATCGTGGCCCTGTGGGAGGTGCGTGGAGAGAGTGTGAACTGGCAAGACTTAAAGATTCATGGCCCGCAGACCCTGTGGGCCCAGCGCACCACGAAGGGGCTCTGAGTCAGGTCCAAGGGGGACATCACTGTGTCTGTCGGTGAAGTTTTGACGGTGCCGCGGTCAGAGGGAGGACACAGACTGCTCACGTCTTCACGGCTGTCCCGGGCTGGGGAGCTGGGCCTTGTTTGGGGTAGTGGACAGAACAAAGTGTGACGGGGATGCGTCCTCCTGGGACTGTGTACTAAGTGGGTGTGGAGGGAAAGTATGTGGGGCTCAGAGGCCTGGGGTCCACATCAGGTGTCAAACCAGAGATGCTGGCAGCATCACCAGCTGGAACATCGCTGTAAAAGGAGTAGGTTATAAAGGAATTTAAATGACCAGCAAAGGATGGAGCTAGGATGAGCAGCTGGAGCTCCTGCTGAAGGAGCCGCTCAGCCAGAGGCGCTGCTCTATGTGACCACAGCGTGCTGCAGGCGGGGCTGGGGGACACACGAAGGGTGAGTGCTCCACCTCCTTTGCCATCGGGGAAGTGCAAACCGAACCTCAGAGATACTGCCCAGCCATGGGACAGCTGTGTAAGGAAGACGCCCGCACTGAGTGTGGGCGAGGACACCCAGGACCCAGAGCCTCACACGCTGCCCCTGCAGCTGTAAGGGGGGTACGTGGTGCAGCCCTGCAGGGACACAGTGGGCAGTCCTGGGCCAGTTACGAGTCCACACTCTCGAGCCGATGCCCAGGGAAGCAGACACAACACGCAGAACCTTGGACACAAATGTACATAGCAGCATCGCTCACAGTGGCCCCAAAGTGGAAACAACCCAGTGGATGAATAAAGAAACAAAATGTGCTGTGTCCTCAAAACAGAATATTCTTCAGTCATTAAAGGGATGTGGCACCAACACGCTGCAGCCATGGAAACATTGCATCCTATGAAGGAAGCCAGGCACAAAGGGCCACGTGTTGCGCTTCCATCTAATGAGATGTCCAAGGGGGCAAAGTTGTGGAAGTGGGCAGTGGACTAGCCTGGCCTGGGGGAGGGGAAGCGCACACGGTTTCTCTTGGGGAGAGGATGTCTTCTATCTGACTGTGGTGACGCTTGCACGACTGTGTGGATATACTGAAAATTAATTCTGAACTGAGTGAGTTCGTGGCCGGTGGACTGTATTCAGTGAAGCTGTTAGAAAGCAGCGCGGCAGGGAAGTGGACTGGGAACTGGGCCAGTCAGGGCCTGGAAAGGGCTGTGCCTGCTTGGGTATGGGTTTCAGGTGCCTGCGCTGTTGGGTGACCAAGGCTGCCTGGACACGTGGCTGGTGATGCACGCTCACCTGCTGTCTGTCTCCCGGCCCTGCAGGGCGAGGACCCCCTTGCCGAGAGCACGCTGACCTTCATGGCACAGACGTCCGCCCTGACCTATGCTCCTGAGCCCCGGGCGGATTTCCCCGGGGGGCGCCCGCTGCCCACGCTCCACCGGCTCCAGCCCGACGAGCTCACCCCCAAGTCAGCGGACGGTGTGGACCGGCAGAATCTGGTCGCCGCGCTGAGCGCCTACGCTGCTCGGAAGTCCCCTTTGCCCCCCCGGCAGGGCGACCCCGCGCCGCGCAACCTCCTGAGCGCAGCGTGGAGAGAGCCCAGGGTCCTTTCGGCACCGGCTGCCCCCCAGAGATGGCCTTCGCCTGCAGGAGACCCCAGGAATGCCCCGGGCTTGGACGATGGTAAGTCACGCTCTTTGGTGATTTTATTGCCAGCGGGGTTCTGTTTCTCCCGCACCCACCCAGGCCTGCCCTTCTCGGGTCTTCTCACGCAGTCCTGCCCCCTCGGGGGCCTGCGGAGGGGCACGTGGATGGGGAGGGAGCCCGCCACGGGTCCTGCTCCCCCGCGGGGAGGGCTCAGGCGGTGGACTGGGGGGTCGGGTCTCCTGGGGCGGGCCCTCGGTGTTCAGTCCTCGCCTCCTTCAAGCTCTTCCCTACAGTTTCGCTGTTTCATGACTTTATTGATGAAGACGAAGGGGTGCGACTTCCGGCCACACCGCCCCCACCACACCCCCCCATAGCGGTTAGTCCGAAGTGCCCGCGTCCTGTCTCCCCCTCCCCTGCTCGTGGTCAGGCTGCCCAGCTCAGTGCTTGGTGGTCATTTGTGGTGACCCCACAGGAACCCCCCTTGCAGCGACGCGGCTCCCAGGGCAGGCTGTGCTCGGCCCCTGAGCCAAGGGGCTGTCCTTCCACGTGAGTCCGCCCCGCCTCGGTCCTCCCACTGAGGGGCGCTTGCCGCTCCCACTCCTCCAAAAGACTCGGCAGCTCCCTCCTAACTGAGACCACGACATGGAAAGTGAGATTCTGTTAAAATGTGCCTTCTTCGAAGATATGCAAATAATGTCAAACAGAGGACAGATGAAAAAAAACGGAGACTGACGTTGCGTCAGCCCTGTGAGCGAAGGCCTCGTGGCAGCGGCTCTGTGCCTCTCTCCCAGGCTGGGTGGCTCTCTGGTCTCCCTCTCTCTTTGTCCAAATGGCCGTCATGGTGGGTTTTAAGCGGAAGGGGTGCAGAGTCATCATGGAGGGAGGGAGGGGTGGGTGGGCACTGGTGATGCCTTCCTCTGGTTCCTGTCCTGAGAAGCAGACTGTGCACGGACGAAGCGCGGTTTGCCCACGAGCGTAGCCTAGCCAGGCTGGAGTCGCCCCTTCCCCTCCCTCTGGGGCTGCTTCTGCTTTCTGCTTCTGCTCAGAGAGAGTCCTCTGGCTGGCCCCACTGCCTCCTGCGCTCCCCTGGGCACTGACCTCTGTTGGTAGTGGGCACCTCGCCCAGCCCAGCACCAGCTCACAGCTCTGCCGCGGGTGCACTGTTGAAGGTTGCCCGTCTGAGTGGCCTTGCTGGGATGCCAGCCCTCTCCATGGTGCTGACGCCACTTCCGTCTTCTGTGTTTGTGCTCCATACCCCCAATGTTGCGCAATGTCTGTTCTGCCTGAACACCCCTTCTCTATCTTCTTCCCCATCCCCCACAACTTAAAAAAGCCCATCCGCGCTAGTTACGGGAAATAGGAAGAGAGAAATACCCCTGCCCCACCGCAGGCTGAAACCCGCCAGAGCCGGCGTCCTCAGACGGACCGAGGCGAGCCCGAGTCTGCTCCCGCTGCTTCTCCCGCTCAAAAGGCGCTTCCTTCCTCCCTTTCCGGGTTCCTCCTCAGCCTCCTTCATGTTCGCTGAGCTGCGCGTCTTCGTGAACGTCCTCTGAACGCGCCTTCTGCACTCTCTGGGGGTTCTCCTCAGTGGCTGGTTTGGTTGGTGTTTTCCTGTGCTGAGTCGCGGTGCTGGTCATCTTTCTAGTACGTTGTCTTTCCAGCTGTGCTGAGTGCTTTAAAGAGTTGTGCAGAATTTCGGTCGCAAAACAAGGGGAGAGACTTGCAGGATGAACGGCCACAAGGCATCGCTGGGCCTCAGCAGCAGCAGCTCCCGGCGTCTCTTGCCACTTGTGCACCCACCACCTCCCCACACTCCCTGTTGGAGTCCATCTGTCCATATTTCAGGGCTGTGTTGCCAAAAGACAAACCCAACCACAACCGCTTTGTCCCATAATAAAACTAGTAGTGATGTCTTAATATCGTTGAATATCTAGTAAGTGTTCAAACTTCTCAGATGCTGTGCATTCCCCTATAGTCGGTTCTGTGGCGGCGGGATCCAAAGAAAGGCCAGTGAGTCGGGGAATGTACCTGTTAAGCCGCTTTTAAAATACGGAAGCTTTCTCCTCCCTCTTTTTTCTTTCCTTGCAACATTTAAACAATTATATAAGTTTCAGAATCTGACATCTGTGTACGCTGGAGTGACCACCCCCGGGCTCCCTGCTGCCCATACTGTGCTCTTGACCCCTCCACCCGTTTTGCCCCCAGCCCCAGCCCCTCTGGTAATCACCAGTCTGTTCTCTGTATCTGAGTTTTTGTTTCATTTTGTTTATCTGATGTTAGAGTCCATGTCTGAGTGAAATCACACGGTGTCTGTCTTTCTCTGACTTACGTCACTAGCGTTATACCCTCTGGGTGCATCTGTGTTGCAGCAAATGGCAGACTTTCATTCTTTCCATGGCTGAGTAACAGTCCGTTGTATGTAAATATACATACCCCACAGCTTTTTTTATCCCTTCAGCTGTTGATGGGCACTTGGGTTACTTCCATTTATTGGCTGCTGTAAATAATGCTTCAGTGAACATTGGGGTATGTGTGTCTTCTTGTATTAATGTTTTTGGTTTCTTTGGATAAACACCGAGGAGTGGAATTGCTGGACCACACGGTGTTTATATTCTTAACTTTTTTCAGGAATCTCTATCCTGTTTTCCATGGTGGCTGCACCGACTTACAAGGGTTCCCTTTTCTCCACATCCTCACCAACATGTGTTATTTCTTGTCTTTTCTGTAACAGCTGTTATAACAGGAGTGCAGTGATGTCTCACTGTAGTTTTGATCTGCGTTTGTCTGATGGTTGATGATGCTGAGTATCTTTCCATGTGCCTGCTGGCCAGCTGTAGCATCTTGGAAAAATATCTGTTCATATCCTCTGCCCATTTTCAATCGTGTTTGGTTTTTCGCTAGTGAGTCATACGAGTTCTCTTTAATATTTTGGATATTAACCCCTCGTTGTTATGTGATTTGCAGGTGTCTTCTCCCCCTCAGAAGGCTGCCTTTTTGCTTTGATGATGGAGCTTTTTAGTTTGATGTTGTCCCACTTGTTTGTTTTCGCTTTTGTTTCCCTTGCCTTTGGCGTCGGATCCAGAAAACCATCACTGAGGTTCATGTCAATGAAGTTACTGCCTGTTTTCTTCTAGGAATTTCATGGTTTCAGGTCTTACACTCCAGTCTTTAATCCGTTCTAAGTTACTTTTCGTGTATTGTGTAAGGTTGTAGTCTAGTTTCTTTTATGTGTAAATGTCCAGTTTTCCCAACACCGTTTATTGAAGAATCTGTCTTTTCTCCATTGTATTGTCTTCCCTCCTTTGTCGTAGATTAATTGACCATCAGTGTGGGTTTATTTCTGGGCTGTCTATCCTGTTCCATTAATCTATGTGTCTGTGTATCTGTGTCTGTGTGCGCGCGCACGTGCACGCATGTGCACCAGTACCACACTGTTTGGATCGCTGCAACTTTGCAGTATAACCTGAAGTCAGGGAGTGTGGTGCCTCCAGTGTTTTCTTCCTCAAGCTTGGTTTGGCTGTTTGGGTCTTTTGTGATTCTATACACATTCTAGAAGTATCTGTTCTAGTTCTGTGAAATTCGCCATGGGAATTTTGTGAGGGACTGCACTGAATCTGTGAATTGCCTTGGGTAGTAGGGTCGTTCTGACAATACTGAGTCTTGAAACCCACGGGCAAGGAATGATCACCTTGCTGGTCGAGAATTCTTCATCAGAGGTCTCCTCTCAGCACTTTGCTCTCCCTTCTGGCTGCAACATTTTCTGCTGAAAAATCTGCTGGCGGTCTTATGGGGGCTCCCTTACATGTCATACGTTGTTTTTCTCTTGCTGCTTTTAAGATCCTCTCTGTATCCTTAACTTGCTTCTCATGATGTGTCTTGGTGTGCTTCTCTTTGGGTTCATCCTACTTGAAATTCTCTGGGCTTCCTGGACCTGGATGTCTGTTTCTGTCCCCAGATTAGGGAAGTTTTCAGCCACTATTTCTTCAAGTAATTTTTCTGGCCCTTTCTCTCTCTTTCCTCCTCCTGGGACCCCCGTAATGCGAATGTTATAACGTGTGATGTTGTTTGAAGGGTCTTTTAAGGTGTCTTCACTTTTTAATGTTCTTTTTATTCATTTTGCTGCTCTACTGGGTGAGTTCCCTGGCTTTGTTTTCGAGCTCACTGATGCATTCTTTCTCCTCATCCAGTCGACTACTGAACCCCTCTACAGTATTTTTCTGTTCAGCTATAACTTCTTTTTGGTACTTTCTTATAATTTCTGTCTCTTTTTTGAAGTTTTCACTGTATTCATACATCTTTCTCCCAAGTTCAGTGAGCATCTTCTCAAACATTATTTCAAACTCTCTGTCAGGTGGGTTGCTTATTTCTGTATCATTTTAGTTCTTTTTTCTGAGGTTTTTGTTCTTGTTCTTTGGTTGGAATGTATTCCTTTATCCCCTCCCTTTGCCTGATTCTCTGTGTCTGTTCCTATGTTAGGTGTATCAGCTGCCTCTCCTGGTCTTGAGGGAGATGTCCTGTGGGGCTCAGAGGCGCAGTCCCACCTGGGCACCAGGCGCTCCAGGTGTCCCTGTGTGGGCTGCATGCTTCCTCCTGTTGTGAGCCTCTGTTGCCACAGGGCCATGGTTGTGGCAAGGCCAAGCCAGGACTGCAGTGGGGTGGTGGTGGGCGGGGTTGTCCCTGGTGGGCTGTGAATGGACTGAGGTGTAGGTGGCGGGCTCTCGGGGGACCATGCCCTCCTGTGTTCCCTGGTTAGGTGACGATTCCCACAATGGTGCCCTCCAGTGTCTCTGTCCCTGGGGAGTTCCAAGTGGCTCCTGTTTCTTCTGCAGGCACCTGAGGATTTGTGAGTGGGTCCCCTTCATCTGTGGTCCAGGAACCTTTCAGTCTGATGTTTTGTGTTGGTCTTGGGGCGAGTCTGTAAGTGGGCTGTGTAAGGGCGCGTTTCCCATTCTCTGTGATTCTGTGATTTTCCCGGACAGATTTCCTGTTGGTTTACAGAGCCGGGTGTTTTGGGTGCTCATCTCTCCTGAGCAGGA